GGTGAACACTGAGACTTCCAATGTAGCAGCCAAGATGGCGTTGGAGAAGAGATAGAAAGAATGTCAAGAAATTCCATTCCTAGATCTTTATCCCACATAATATGATTTCTTTTCCTTCTTCTTCTGCGAGAAGCTGTGCAATTTCCAGTGACAAATGCAACATTGTTCTACAATCAGTTGCTAAAGAGCAGTAACTTCCCTACTTACACTGGCAAAGCATTAATCAAGAAATTAGAGCAGCCTGGGGTTTGGGTTTATTTTTGGTTCTTTTTCCTGAGAGGTAGGGATTTTCTTTTTTTTTGATTTGGTGATTGATTTTTTGTTTGGTTGGGTTTTTTTTTTGGTTTTGTTTTGGTTTGGTTTTTTTGACCATCGCTAAATCTATCCAGAGTGCTCTAAAAATCTGGAAGAGGAAATTAAAATCTTAACCAAGTCTGTCCACAGTGATTTCAGGACTTGATTGTGGATTTCATCCTGATGGTGTTGATTTTAGGGACTGCTACATCAAAGCATGAATGGTTTAGCTGCAAGCTCGTGTTTACTACTTCACACAACACACTTGTTTCCCGAAAGCCAATTCTGATTCAAATCAATTTAATTAAGTAACAAAGCTGGTTGTCATGGTAACAACACTACTAATTTGTCATGGCAAATACTCTGTGAGATTGACCAGTTGCTAAGCAACAGCCAATGGGCTTGAAGACAGAAGATGACAAATTCTATCTGGTGCAGATGTTGTGATCCAGTCTTGAATTAGGCCTCTGTTCTGAGTGGATTCCCAAGAGAGCATCACCTGGATAGCTTAATAGCATCACAGGGAGTAGCACGCCACAACAAATTATATTGTTTTGCACTTTTAAAAATGTATTTGAGGAAGAAGCTAGTAAAATAAGGTAATTTGATGCCCCATGTCATCTTTTTTATTTTCCTGTTACAGAATATATGGAGATGATTCAATCTTACTGTACTTGGCTTTGCATATGCATATTTATATCTCTGAAACAGTCTTTTATTCATCTTTGTACAAATGATACATAAAATTTAGGCATGCAAGCACAAAACAAGTGGATTATGGCTAAATCACCTCAACAAAATCTGTTTGGAGTAATGTGCGTAATTCACTCACAACAACGGAGAACAATTTATTTTTAGTTTATTATTCTTTCCCTTCAGATACTCTCCACCTTCACAGTTTAAACTTGATTTACTTTTATTCATGAGAATAAATTCATTATTCCTCTCATGGAAAGTACTACAAATATTTCAGGCTGTTGGTATCTTCCTACCTGTGCCTGCTTTTGATCTGCAAAGAAATCAGACTAAGTGTAAAGTAATGTCATTTTGTCAACACATGACTTTCTTTAATTCAACGTAGTAGCTAATTTATCCCAAATCCTTGTGTAACTAAATAAACCACTTGAACTGGGAAATAATTAAAATATTCTGTTCAGTTCTATGTTTAACTCTAATTCTAAAATCTACTTTTTAAACTTAGTACTTTGTGTGCAAAAGGAGACAAACTGATGACTGATAAGGAAGAATACAGAAATTTGTGAAATTAAGACTAGAGGCAGTAAGAGAAAAGTTGACTGATTTACAGTTCACTGGAAAATATCGCCACCAGAAATGCTTTGTGAAATAGGATTCATATTTCTAGGATTTTGCTTGCAAATATAAAGAAAATTTCTGACAGTTTTGAAATGGCTGTGTTTCAGGTTATTTTAGACATTTGATTTCTTCATGGAAACTGACTTTTCAATTAGAAATAATTTGCCAAATTATAATCATAACAGAATGACAATTGATCTAATAGAACAAAGACTCAAGCATTGAAATCAAAACAAATTCTTCTAATTTTCTGAAGCGAGATATCTGAATGACCCCTCCTTCACTCTACTGTCATTTTCTTTCTGTGAAATCACTTGTGCTGGCAGACAAATTTTAAAATTCCTGAAAAACCTTTATACAGCAGATATTCCAGCCTTCACAAATTTCTAATATGGATAGTACATTAGTTTCTTAGTAGAGTCATTACAACTAATGGACTGTTGACAGGAAGATCCAGGCAAGAACCTAATATTATGCTCTATGATATTCATTTGAATATAAACAGTAACAATTTTGCAGTTTAAATAAAATGTTATCTAGAACCAAAACAGAGATTTATCAGTTTCGTTACAAATGCAGTCATCGTGATAGAAATTAAATAAAACCCTGATATTTTGTTGCATTAGAAGAGGGTTGAAATTAACCAATTGAACAATCCAAATGAATTTTGATTTTATAAAAGTAAAATCAGATTTTAAAAATTAAGTTCATAATGGTATAATAAAAACAGAGGGTGCATTTTGCCCATCAAGTTTGGTTAAAAGGGTATTCTGCAGAAAACTAGCTAGAGTAATTTGTGCAATACTAACAGAAAATGTAAAAGCAATGGACAGATGCAACTCAAATGTCATCCTTTTGCTAGTTCAAACCATTTGTTAGACTAGCATTTTTTATATTATGTTGTATGGGGGGTCTGGGAAAAGGCTTTGGCAGTAGGTGTGCTGTAGACGTGGCCTCTGTGGGCAGGGGGAGGAAAGGCGGTGTTTTAGTGTTTATCTTTTGTTTCTCCCTACTCAAATCTATTTCAACTGGGGAAAAAAAATAATTAATTGTCCCCAAGTTGAATCTGTTTTCCAGGGACAGAATTGGTAAGAAATGTCACTGTCTCAATCTTAGCCTATGAAGTTTCTTATCCTATTTTCTCCACCTGTCCTGTTAAGCAGAGGGAGGGAAGGAGGGAGTGTCTGGGGGCACCCTGGCTGTTTGCCAAGTCTAACCCACAAGGTAAAGACAATCCAGCCACTGAAAAAAGTCACATGTGGAAAGTGCATTGGCACGAGGAGCAAAGGCTTCATGCTCAACAGCAGTGCATCCCCATTTTCAGAATCTGAAAATTATTTTAACACAGGAAAGTAGTAAACAACATGCTTTTTCCTCTCCTCTGAAAGCTGCAGATAAAATCCTAGTATCATACCAGAAGAAACAATAAAACAACCAAAAATCTTTAAAATGCATCATGCAAGTGACATTACATACAAGAATGCTCAGACAACTTTGAATACATTTGCCTTTGGCCTGAAACTAGCACTTAGGTACTCTAATACTACCTTTTCTATGCTTTCAGTGTCTAATTTGGGCATTTCAGTTTACACAATCCTTTTTTTTTATGAAACTCATAGGCAATTACATATTTTTAATTTTATTTTGATGAAGCTGACAATTCAGAGATAATTTAAACTCATCAGTGGAGGGAACAGCACGACCCTATCTCTTGCATCAGGCCTGCTGGTAAGACAGAACATATCTTTTCAAAGTTTTTCATTTTTTAAAACACCAAAAACTGGAGGAGCCATGAGATCCTTAAATAAATTATTCCACTGGTTAATCATCAACTTACTCTTTCTGGCCATAGATCCGAGGACTAACATTTGCTCCCTTAACCTCCTGATCATATGCTTTTATATATTATATGAAACCCAGAAATTTCCAACTCCTTATGATGCTCCTTTTCGAAATTAGTTTCTCCTTCGGAAGGGAACTGTGATTTTCAGTCTTTATTCCTAGATATGTAATATTGCCATTTGAAAATTTAAAATAAATCTTATTCAAGTAAGTCCAGATCATTGTAATATCCAGGCCATTTGTCAGATGTGTCTTTCTCATTATTTACTGTACTATTGTTTTTGTGTATGTAAATCTTAACAAGACTGATTGTATATCGTTTTGCACATCACTGCTCAGGTCATGACTTGAATAAGATAAGAAAGAAGCCAATAGGAAAAAACAAATGGATTATTTTTTCATTAAAATTCTTTTCAAAAACTGTCAATTAGAACATGAATTCTCTACCTGCAGTATTTTTAAATCCTAATGAAATCAAATACCTTTTAGAATTTTTTTACCAATGAAATCATAAACATAATCAAGAAGACCAAGTTTATTTGATAATTTTTTTCATTGAGCTGTGTTGATTGACAGTGCATATATTGCCATTATTTTAATTCTTCATTGATTTCATTCCCCATTACCTTGACTTAGTCTCTCTATATCCATTTAATGAGACGACAGTTTGCTCAAGTATTTGTCCTTCTTAAGCAGTGGCACATAAACCTTTTCTTTTTCTAGAACCCCAGAGTTTTTTCAGTCTTCCAGATTAATTCATCTGTCTGACATTCCTTTGAACTTATCATGTGTGAAGTATTTCATCATAGTTAAATTTAACTTATTTTTTTTTTAAACTTCTCCGCTGTTCCTTTCCTCTCAGTACTACTGGAAGAAAATCTGTTTTGTTGTTGTTGTTAACATCATCCTTCTTTCTAAGAACAGATGTTAAGTATGCACTGGAGAATTCTTCCTTTCCTCAGCATTACTGATTTTTATATTTGGTCACCATTCAGTAAACTTGGCCCAGAACCTTCCCTCAGGACAGACTTTTCGGGAGCGAAGTGAAATGAATTAATAAGTCTACTGCCATTGAATCACTTCTCTCAGTGCAGGGCACATACTGGGAGTTATGTGATGGACCGAGGTTTCTTGTTGTAACCTCTTTCTCTGTGTCACACTCATGTTGCAATTGTCCTTACACCAGTCCATCACCAGGAATCACTTTAGCATCTGTGCAATAGTAACAGCAAGACTAAATTTTCTTCTTTTTTTTTTTTTTTGGTTTACTGTTGACTTCCCTGATCTTGAGAACCACTAAATGTCTGAAACTGGCACACAGTTTGGAAAACTCTTTTACTTTTTTTTTTTTTGTTAATTGATCTGACACTTTACAGCATTTGCTTCAAAAGGTTAAAATCTGTTCGTATAACTAATCTTATCTTCTTTAAAGCCCCTTTTCTCTAGCGAATGGCTGGTCTGGCCTCTGGCTGACTTTCTGTCTTCACAAATTTCTCTAAAATTCACTATCCTCCCACCTTTCGTTTCAGCGAGGGTCCCTGGGAAGACTCCTACGAATCCATCATTGAGAATGGCAACCAGGGAAAGCAGCCATTTCCTCCAGAAGAAAACTGTTCTGCCACATTCTCTTAAAGTATATTCTCCTCCCAGGGCAAGCACAGAGCTCCCATCAACACTAATGCACACACAGAGGTGAATATTCCCATTTGTGAGAGTCTGTAATTGAATCACCATTAGCTTCAGCTTCTGGCGTTGTTCAGAATGAGTCAAGTCCTATTGCTTCTTGTTGCTAGAATGCAATAAACAAGAGTTAAACTATTTAAAGGCAGCTTTGTTCTTCTGTCAGGCACCTGATGAATTTTGGTTAAAATATAACAACTCCAAAGAGGTATTAGAATCTGGCAAAGACAAAGGCCCAAATTAACCTTAACTATAGAGTGTCTATCAATGCTTCTGTCTCAACCACTTCAAAATCCCTTTTTCAGCTGCCTATGGAACAGTTATATTACTGATCCAAATTTACCTCTAAGCTGTGTGAATGTATATTTTCCTAGTGTTTAAGTGGTAAAAGCTGTAAGGAAGCAGGATTTCATTTCACTTCCAAGGTTTTCACAGATAGCAGTGATTCAAGAATACTCCATGGAATAAGTGGTTGTTACTTGATTTTTTTTACCTCTCCAGAAAATAGAACCTTCCTAAGAAAACTTTACAGTCTTACACGCACACACAAAAAAAGACCCTAAAAAAAAATGCACTTTTATGAAAGCTATCCATCAAATGTCAAGGATAATAATCAATTTTTTGTCACAATGAACTGATAAAAGCTTTCAGTAATAATGTCATGGGGAAAAAAATTTGTGTTGGAACTCGTAACGCTCAGCCCTGATATCAAACGAATTCATAAAAGCTCAATACCACTGTAGCCCTCGGAGGCATGACAAAACACAATTTCTCATCCACAGGATATGGAATAATTCTCTCTTTTTTATTTTTTTTTACAGAGGGAGAAGTAAAAGGAAAAAATCTGAATTTCAAAAAAAATATTACACAATCCTGCTTATGCAGGTGAACATTACCGATCATTTTGGTCTTCGATATCACAAACCGTTATGGTGATTTCTCTCACATCATGCAAATGGCTGCATAATGTCTACTCCTCTTGGAATGTAAAATCAAATCAGCATTCTAATGATACAAGCCCGTGATGAGCTTGGAAATAAATATGCAGAAGCGCATAAAAAAAAAAATCAAGGCAATCAAGGAGAGCCAGCGTCCTAGCTTGGACTATAAATCTTTGTCTGTTTCAATCGTAAAGCTGGCCGAATCAGTGTAAAATTCGAGCAGGGATGTCATCAATTTCTGTTAACCTCTCTATTCTTCTTTGTGTTGGCGGTGCAGTGATGGATTGGTTTTGTCACTTGTGCTCAGTTCACAGTATGTTAACATGGAAGGGTGCAGTCAGGTTATGAAGAAGGGTTATTACTGTCCCAGCTCTGACCTGGACTTACTATCTTTTCTAGTATCACAAAACCTTACTGTCGTTGGGAGCGAGAAGTAGCATCCTTGGTGCTGCTTAATGCTAAACAGGGAAGTCGCAGTTGTATTCCTCCAGTTGCTTTGCTATAGTTCTTTCCAGATGTTTTGCTCCAGTGTATAGGCCCATTCTTTTCTACCATTTTTTAATTAATGAATTAATGTAGGAGATGCTTATTAATCCAGCTACCAGTGCAGGAAGAAAAGTAATGAATTACTGGATTAAGAGGAATCTATGATCTGCAAACACAAAAAGATTCATAATTTTACAATTTCTAAATAACAAAGCGCTGGTAATGAAACAGAGGTAGTAACATAAACACACCGGCATGTAGCGAATGCATAAATGTTTTAAGGAGCGGACCAAGAATTTTTCTGTCATGTTGTCTTGATCCTTTGGTAAAGATGTGAATTTAATGAGTTAGGGTGTTCTTCAGATCATTTACTGCTTCTCTACGCTGTGTCAATGTACTCACTGCAATCTGTATTACACAGCACTGAGACACCTGGTCCTACTTCAAAAACTTGCAAGCTCAACTTTAAGCAACTTCAGGCTCTATTAATGTCAATGGAACTGCTTAAGTGCTTAAGTTAAGCATGTTCCTAAATGCTTTGTTGGAAGATTGTAATAAATTCTAATTCAGAGCCCAATGAAATCTGTAGGAGTCTTTATATTGACTCAACGGCATTGTATCAGGCTAATAGAGCTCAACACCTTGCAGAACTGAGCCCTTAAACAGTTGGTTCATTTCACCACATAAGTGGTTGCTTTAGTGGTGGATGAAGTGATACCTATGTGTAGTATCTAATATAGTGTGTTTCAGCTTGTTAAGTTAGTAAAGTGCTTTGGGATCACTTGAGATGAATGGCACAATCCAAATGCAAGTTATCACTACAGTGCCAGAAGTACTATTTTTTGTGAGTGAAAAATCACATTAAAATAGATGCTTTAAAACAAAGGAAATAGAACATTATAAAAATTCTATATCTATTTACTTCTGTAACAAAAAGCCAAGTGGAACAAAATAACTCCTGCAATAGGTAGTCTGGGTTAGCAGAAAAGCTGAACAATTGTGGGTCAATGGCATTTTGTAAGTGATGCTTTTGCTCTTGACAAATTGGACCCAGGATATAGGAGTAAATCTGGTCACAAATGTCTGCCACTTCTCGGAGCTGTGTTGGCTGCTCAAAAGCAATTAAGTGAAGTGGGTGCTCAAGTCCCATTGAATGTCCCAATTAACAATTAGCAAGACTTGTGCTCTTAAGGGTTTTTGGAGATCTTACACAATACGACAATGACAAAGTCACATGAAGGAGACTTTCTATATCCTTTCTATAGGAGTTATTTTTAAAGTCATATAAAAATTTTCTGAATTAAATATAATATAGAACCAAGAAAGAAGCGACTGTTACATCATAACTTTACTATCCACCATTGAGTTCAGGAATGTAGAAGGAACCCAGTCAGGCAACAGGGTTGGCAATCTAACCAAATCCAAACTGACAGAAGTTTCATAAGCAACTTTTCCTTTAAAAACTTATTCCTACATGATGGCATTTTTAAGATGTCTCGGCATACCAAAACACCGTATATTAATAAGAAAACTGGAGGTAAGTTTGGCACGATAAAGTTTTTCTGTGTGGTCAGTGTAGCTTGTTTTCTCCCAAGTTTCTTTATTTTGATCTTGTAATGAATTTAAACTAAACAATGTATTCAGTGACAGCTACAGAGACTCCAGTAAAAGTAGTCAAGAAAGAATCCCAAAGAAGTCATACTGACCTTACTGATAACTTCCACCTCAGAAAGTGCTTCAAATGCCACTGAACCCAAGAGGAACTATACATTTGATCATGCTGTTCCTGTCCCGTGAAAGGAAACTGTCACTCCAGAAGTAAATAATTCTGGACTTCTACCAGCTCACATGTGCCCTAACCCATTGAGTGCCCCCCTTATACACGTAAACAGAACAAATACAATCTGCCACAAAAAGGCCTTGTAAGAGTCTCCAGAGACATGAATCCCACTAAATTAATTATTGTATTGCACATATTTTTAGCAGGATGCCTATTTACTAATATATTTGTCTTAAAGGTTCTTGTTCTCGATTACATAATGATAAACAAATTAAATGCAATTTCAAATTTATACCTGTACAAGTGTCAGTTACCAAGTTCCCCTGTCAGTCCCATGAGGCTGCCCATAGCACAGCTGGAAAGCGTGCTACTGTGCACACATTGCAAGACATTGCATTGCATTACTTACTCCAAGAAACTCTTACTGAAGGCATAAATGTTAATGATTTTTATTTATTGCTGGTATTGCAGAGTCCAGTAAATTCAGAAATGAGATTGGACGTGATTTAATAGATGCTTTGCAGAAATAAAGAACTACCAGGGCTGCTTGTCTCTCCCAAACTTCAAGGGGAGATGGAACAATTTTTGTCACCTAGACTGATCTGCAAATCAAAGAATCCCACCCTGCTGCAACATTTGTCCGTGTGTGGGACCCCTCCTCCTGTAGGAGGACCTAGTTTTGGTTTCCTTGAACTTCTTAAAACTTTTATTATTGTAATTAGCACTTCATGTAATCAATATAGATCAACCTCAATGAAGTAGAAATATGTTCTAAGCATGTTACTAATAAGATAACATAATTTCATCTACTTGTGAAAGGAGAATGCAAATTAATTAGGAGCATGGTCAAAATAACTTACTTTAAATACCCTGAAAATCCTTCTAAATAATTTTCTATATTTTTCTTAGGCTTTGTTTAATTTCTAACACTTTCCTTGTTTGCAAGGAAGCATTTGGGTGAAATCCTTGACATGTTGACGAGTGGTTTTGCATAACCTAAGCCAATGGAGGTTTGTTATTTTCTCAGATCCAATCCTGAGAAGTCTGCAGAGGGTCTGGATGTTTGTCTTGATAATTTATGAGTTTATCAGTGGACTGTGCGATTTTGGGTTTTAGGCCCACATTCAGCTCAAAGAAGGAATAATTTCAAATGAGGGCTAATTAGCAAGTTATCACTTTGCAATCTTGTTCAACAGTTATTTAAATCAACACTTGGTAAAAGGAGAAATGAAAACTACTGAACATAGACACAAACACTAACATACAAATTCAAACACAGATACATAGGTCATCTAATGAAAGGGAAAAAAGTTTTTCCTAATAATACAGAGTAATTTTATAATATATCTAAAGGCAGGTTGAATGCATGTCCCTCATCCTTCAGTTTCCCTTTTCCGTTTAAAATCACGTTGACCTTGAGTCTATTCTGTAATCAAGGTGTTTGATAGGTCAAACCCTTCAGAGGTGCAGGTAAAAAGCACTTTTTAGAAAGTTAAACTGGCAACATACAGGGTGCAGTTATTGCTTTAGAGAAATGTCATAGATGTCCTCTAACCTTTTTTTTTAGGAACGTATTTCTTCGATGATTTTTTCAAGGACTCAGGGTCAGGAAGAATCTACCCCAAGGGTAGTTAGAGGGAAGAAAAAATAACAAGGCATGGTAGCACCTGGGGACCACAACATTGTTCACATCCTCTGTAATCATCAGTGCACTGCTCAGCTGCTTTGGTAATTTACATAATACCATCCTGACACGTTCACTTCAGTTATCCATCACCATTGGAATGGTGTTGCTGTTTTCCTGCTTTATTTTCTTTCTCCCTATCTGTCTCTCTCTCTGCCTTTCTTTCTCTCATTGTGTCTTATGTTTATCTGGCCAAGCAAAAAAGATTGATTTCACACTGTTTCTGCCCTCCTTGTTCAAGAAATATGATTTTGGCAAATGACGAGGCAGTGAACAAAGCTAATAAGCAAAAATGCACATACAGAGATTTTATTCTCTACATTTTAATGAATAGTATCTTTGGGAGAACTGAGGAGGAGGAGAAGAACAATAATTTAATGGATGCTGAGATGGGGGAGAGTCAGTTTAATAAAGCTAAATTCTAAGGATATGATGGACTTTATTCACAGGGAATCATGGCTAAATCTGCAAGATAGGACTGGACACTGAGCTTAAAGCTTTGCCTCTTGAGTTACATTTCTTAAAAAATTAACAAAGGAAAGGTAATATTTAATATTTTCTAAATGTAATTTTTAGTGTCACATGACAGATGAATTGTTTCCTGAAAACATGATTAATTCCTGCAGAGATCAAGCTACGGGCTTGTTATCCCCAGTTTTATACTTTTATACCCCTTTGACTCTAATGGTGTTGCCCTTGATGTACATCACTGTAACTGGTATTGACAGTCATGTCCTTGTCTATCACCTTTGTGTATGACAAGGGTGCTGAAGTCACCTTCTCACAGTAAAGGAAAACTCTAAGACATAGGAAAAGACCACTGAAATGGGGATGTGGACAACCTATTTATTGTTACTTTCTCTAGCCTATAGGGGTGAATGCCTCATACTCTGAGCCACTCATTCCTGGCAGAGAAAGCCCCAAGTAACTTGGCTACTAGGACTTCCCACAATATGAAGGTAAAAAGCAACTTTTAAGGCAACATAGTTTTTAGGGGTAAAAAGGATAAAACACACTTGTATTGGTGTTCCTGAACAAGCATCAGAAATTATTCCTTGTCTCTGTATAATGATGATCCTGATAAATAATTGCAGGGCAAAAAACCAAACCTCCCAGAAGTAAAAAGAGGATGGTATATGAATACAGTGCGACCAACCCCCCAAAAGACAGCTTCATACACCTAGAATTTCTAAAACCCTCCCTTCA